CCAGTTTAAGATGATCGACATCAGGGCACACGGATTTGCTGAAATGTGGCTGCTGTGGCTGTAATTCTGATCAATGAACTGCAGACGCTGTAACCTGAATAGATGATAAGAACCTTTGATTATTCAGTGCAAATCCTTAGTTGTCCGTAAAAAACCTCTAACATCCATAAGATAGTCATCATTGGAGCTAAAATGGAGGAATAACACAAACTTTGTCCTGCTGTGAATTGTTGTAATTAATGATTCACAAAAACCCAGTGCTTACTGGGATTTGACTATTGTAATTCACTGGTTGCTTTTTTTGAAAGTAGAACATCAGGCCTTTATTCCTACTCTACCTTTGGCTAAAAGCTCTGTTGAAACCTATTCATGTTAGGGCAACATGCAAGCCTCAGCTGATATGCAGGTGGTGGCTGTGTATAAGATGAATTAGACTGGAACTAGCCTCGGGTACTCTTGGAAGACAAGAATTCTATCATTGAAATAGCACTGCTCCTCACCAAATACTTTCAAAACAACAACAATAATAAAAACAGCTTGTTAAGAGTGAGTTATCATTCAGTTTTGGAAGTAGCCAGACAAAGGAAAAAAAAAAATTAAATAAAAAAAAAAAAGTAGCCAGACAAAGGAATCTTTCTTACGTAACTGTGAGAGTGAAAATTGAAATAGCTTTATTGGAGGCAATTGGTCAAGATATTAGAAAATGTCTATGTCTCATAGGTCCTAGTTCCACTTCTAGGAACCTAAATAACTAAATTTTAAAACTCTTTCCCCAGATGCTCTGCTGAAGAAGGAGGAATAATTGCCTCCTGTACCTGTCAGATCTGATTTGACAGTACACACATAAAAAATAATAATAATTTAAAAAAATTTTAAAAAACACCTCTTTTAATACAAAATTATATAATAAAAATTATATACTAAAATAAGATTAGATATACTCCAAGTGTCAAATACTCTGAAAATATTTTTTTTAAATGTCAGAAACTAATACAACAAATATTAATACATGAATTGACTATCTCATTATCTGGCATTTTGTATTTATGACAATAGTAAAAAAATCTGCACCCTCAATACTTCTCACATTAACGACATACTCTGGCAGTATATGACAATGGCTGAGTCCGACCTCTATTAACTTCACAAAAGGGAACAGTCCCTGTTGGCAACATCACAGTGCAAAACCAATTCCTATAAGGTGAGCCACGACCTCCTAGCTCCCACACCACTAATTCCAACACCAATCATTCTGCTCTATTACTGGGTCCAAAATCTATTTCAATGGCCACATAGATCTCACAGACCCATACTCACAGTTATGGGATTTTACTGAGAAAGTTAACAAGTCACTTTGTTAACTTGGCAGCTTTGTTAGTTGGTAGCTAGTGGGTAACCAGTGATACTATCAACCTAAACGCAGAGTCTATCAGCTGCTCTGTGGGAGAAAGATGGTAAATCTCCTCCTGTGCAATTTATGGTCTCTGAAACCAAATAGAAGTTCAGCTATGAGTTGGTGCTGACTCAAGGACACACAACAGGCAGCAATTCAGGTTTACAAAGAGCATATTGCTCAGTCTTCTGAAGCATATTGGCAGGCCCTTTAACTTCCAGCCTCATGACTTCAGTCAATGTTACAAAGCTCTCTTAGACTTTCCAACCATTCTATCTTCACTCAGTCCTCCAGGAACCTTGTCCAAAGGTCCCTGGCTCTGGATCTGTGGGGGCAAGAGTCCCAAGTGAACTCTGCCTCATGTCAGTCACGAGCTCTCTGCTGAAGCTGCTGCTCTCATGTAAGTCTAGATCTCACTGGTGCAGGATGTACAATCTGACCCTGAGCGAGGTGCATTACATTCTCTTCTTCTTTACTGAGATGTCCCCTCTTATGCTGATAAATCTACTCAGTGCAAACTTGATAGGATGGAGGAACTGACAAACCCCATAATGATTAGTTTATTCATAACCTATTTCATGTTCCCAACCAGTCATGCTGTCAAAATCAAAGTCAACGGTAAGGAAAGTAATTTTGAATAATAAACCCATGACACCACAAGCAGTAATGAATGTCTAGTTAGAAAGTGAGACTAACACTGGCTGGTGGTGGTCAAGGTTATGTGTCAGCTTTGCTAGATGATGGTTCTCAGTGGTTTGACAGTGACACAAAGCTGTAATTTGGCAGTTATGTAGAACAGTCATCTTCTGCTGTGGTCTTTGGAAACTAAACATGCCCAAGATTTGAAAGATGAGAATGGTGTGTCTGCTGCAATCATTTAGCAGAGTCAACTACAGAGGAGCAAGAGCCCTGGGAAGGATGCTAGAATTGACAGAAGGTCCAAGGAGGCTAGGGTACACGTGACCTCACAGGATTCAGGTTTGTCTTAAGGATGGCACTGTTTCCTCCTGTGGAGTGAGTGGAGGTCACACATGGCCACACCCAACCAGCTGCACTCTTTCTACAATAACTCAGCCATATATTAGGATAAGAGGATCCCAAGAGTAGGAACCTTAATCTATCTAGTACTAGATCTAGACTGGCTTTAACTAGCCTACACTGTCCTTACTGATGGTAGGGAAAGCAGAAGCCAAGCTTGGAAGGGCAGTTGACCACATAGAAGATCCTACCAGCATGACACAGAAGGACAGTCAAGAGTTTCATAGAGGAAATGACATTAAGATCTAGGGGTGGCTCTTAAAATACCTACTTAAACCCTTCAACTTAAGGCGTTCTAATTTACTCTCTCATTCCCATAATTTCAGGGCTATTATTCCCCCAGGAACCAGAGTTTAATCTGGCCCAACAAAAACAATGTAGAAACATTATCTATCTCACGGCACATTACCCAGTTACTTAGATGCACTAGTATGTTATTTCTTAAAACTTTAAATTTGAAATAGGTCTTTGGTTAAATGCACCTGATTTAACATGTTTCCCAGGCATCTTTCAAAGATACTCTTGAATGAACTGGGTGTCTATTTTTCTGTCGGGGTTAGTGCACCAGTACTTTATAAGTGAAAGGGAACAGGAGCTGGAGAAAGCTGAGGTGGAAATTCAGAGGTTTCAGAAGGGAATCGAGATAAAGTTCATTCTCCAATTCCAAATGCAATTACTTTTTTCTCTCAAGAGAAAGCAACAAAAGATAAAAATATCATCATGCAAGTAAATGTGCCAGTGATATTTAAGGACTGCCATCTAGAAGCAACGTTAACTTTTTACTCACCATGTCACTACACCATTTGATACACAGGGTCACCAACTCTCATGCTTCCAACTCTTTCTACCAAATAATAGATCCCAAAAAGCGGAGACGACTTGTATATATGCTTCTCAGAGGGATCGCACAGGCGGTAGCTGA